TTTTCACACAGTATCTCTAGTTAGACGGTGTTAAGAATAAATAGGTGGTCCCAGTTCTACTCATGGGGTGCATTCATTTATGCAGTAAATAGCGTCATAACCTTAGAACCATGAAGAAAGATATAAGGAGACTCCACTCATGATGTAAGAAAACAAGGTGTACACCCACGGTAATTAATTCTGTCCCTCGGAAATTTTCACAAAATGAAAAGTAACCTCCTTTCTATATTAATTGTCACTATTCATGCACGATAAGGTTTAAGCGGGGAGCACAGACTTTTGCATAACGCATAAACTATATACATAAAGAATTTGATTGGCCCATTGACTCATGCATAAGAAAATGGGCCAATGAAATTCCTTATGCACATGCTTTATGCGTTATGCAAAAGTCTGTGCTCCCCGCTTTAAACGGGGAGCACAGACTGTTGCATAACGCATAAACCATATACATAAAGAATTTGATTGGTCCATTGACTCATGCATAAGAAAATGGACCAATGAAATTCCTTATGCTCATGCTTTATGCGTTATGCAAAAGTCTGTGCTCCCCGCTTTAGAGCCCCAACACACACTTTTGCATAACGCATAAACCATATACATAAAGAATTTGATTGGTCCATTGATTCATGCATAAGAAAATGGGCCAATGAAATTCCTTATGCACATGCTTTATGCATTATGCAAAAGTGTGTGTTGGGGCTCTTACGGTTACGGACGTTACGTTACGTATATTACGTGCCTATTGTAGATGATCCTTTAGCAGTAAAGCTGATTTTTCATGTGCAGCACGCTGCGGCAGCAAAACGTCATGTGATACAAATTTTCGAGAACTGATTGGAAGTGCGTCACCTCACAAAAGATTTTTAACCAATAATAACATTTTGCTGTAGCGTGCTGCACACGAAGAATCAACTTAAGCAAATTGACCAATCACAGTAGAGGCCATACCAATCATATTCAAGAATTTTACAACAAAACTGCAATTGCGCATAATGGAGGCATTGAAGGTGTGGCTTAAAGTTTCGACCAATCAGTTGTTACCCAAGCGGAGACGCGCGTATCTTAAAGTGTACAAAATGTTAATTGGAAATTAAAACACAATGCATGGAAAATTAAATATATTAAATATAAAATAAATACAAAATATGAATATAAAATATTAATAAAAATAACATGTATAAACGAAACAATTTGGTATATTGACACTATATGATAACAGCACGCGACACACTCAAGTGTCGACCAGTTAGCCATACTGAATTTTGCACTTGGGTAAAAGCTGATTGATTCATTGCTCCCCCACTACTTTTGAACGACTGCGCATCCACCGGAATGGTTCACCTTGTATATTTCCATCATGACTAGAACCAGGGCAGCGATCATGTAATTTCCAGTGGAACTTTTCACTTTTCACTTTTCACTTAGTGATTTCACGCGAACTTTTCCACGAATATAGTGCGATTATATAACTAATGAGCGGAAAGTGAAATTACCAAAAATGAGAGATAACCTTATTTACCTTGTAAATCACTGATAGATAGTAAATAAAACAAATAAACAAATAAAGCAATAACAATGAATGTTACAAGTAAACAAAAGGAAATGTATATATTATGATGAATAACGTGATAATAGTGAAATGTAAATGTTTACCATTTATACTTATAAAAATCTATATAATCTTAGAAATATCATTAATAAAAAAAAAAATTTGTTTTAAAGAATTGTTTTAAAGACAATCAAAATAATGTCAATTTGACGTCATATTGATATTATTTTGATTGTTTTGTTCTCCTTGGATGATAACTTTAGAAACTAGAAACGTTTCTTGCATCTCAATGTTCTAGTTACTTCGAGTCACTAAACTTTCACCTTCCCGCTATCACATTTGATGGCGGAAAAATTCACGTGAAAAGTTTCACGTTTCAACGTTTCGCCGAGTTCTATGATCATAAGTTCACGTGAAATCTTTCACTTTTCGCCTTTCCGCTCTAGGGGAAAAGTTACATGATCGCTGCCCAGGTGAGTAAACTCGGTCAAATATCGGCAGAGGGGGTAGGCCAAAAAGTGACGGCGGATAACTTTCCCTACTCTTGCGCTTCATTAGTCTTCTCTGTCGCTCTGATAGTCGTTTTGAATTCGTGACTGCGCTTGTCAAACAAACCTTGTTTGACATGTGCGTTTAATGTGCAGTATAATTTCTTTTTACAACTTACATTCTGTTTAAGATGGTTTAAGAAGATTTTTTTTTTTAAGATGTCCCTCGGATGAAGGGAAAACTAGAGACCCTCTAACAGAGACTGGCCATCAGGGGGCCACTTTTGATTGGTCCGCCATTTCCTAGCGATTCCCGCTCGTATTGAAATTTCAATTACTGCATTTACTTGAAATGTAAATAGTATGTAATGATAAATATTATAGAAATATTAAACTAATAATATATTGAAATAAGGGCAATGAGCCAATTTTCATTAAAATCTTTAAAATCAATCTAATATATTGCGAAGAATATCACGTAATGTTGGCGTTTCGTCCCGGCTTCCACTACTGGACTCATCAGTAAGGTATTGTAATGGAAGCCTACCTTAGACGCCTGTTTTAGTTATTAAATCGAGATTCTATATATACAGAAATAAGCGTATCAAAGCACTTACGAGAATCTTAACGAATATCTATAGACCTCTGATGGCGGGTCGACGTAGTAAT